GCACCTGTTGTGTGGTTGTTGATGTTATTAATGTTATGGGTGTGGGAGAAATTCATCGGGGAAGAGGTCATGGAAGAAATGCAGTGGGGGAGAGAGATGAGGCTGAATGCAGTGGGAGAAATGTGGCGGGGGAGATGAGCAATGAATGGGACATGGCGAAGAGGAAATACAGATAGGACTGATGTCGTGTGCATAAGGGAGATGTGCTTGTAGGAGCAGGTCTGTACAGGGGCCCAGGTAGGCTTTGAGGGTTGGGATGGAGTCTATTTCAGGGTTCACCTGGACATCTTCCCTGTGTCCCTACTTGGGGGAGGCCAAAAATCCTCAAAGCAAAGCCCAGATTTTTTTGGGGGGAAAGGGGGCAATCTTTTGGAAGAGATAGGCACATGTCACAGAATGGAAAACCTTAGAGACTGAGTCTGTGTTGCACACATGTACGACGTGCCCCAAAGACTGGGCCCAGGTGAGTTGAGAGTCATCATCAGAGTCTTACCCCGGGGCCTGCCTGGTTTGCAGCTGTTCTTAGAACAGTGTTCTTGCTGGGTTTGGGAAACAGTAGTTAGCCCTGCATTCTCTAAGAGGCAGAGAAGGCCTGTGTGGGTTGCTTCCTCATGGTAGGACAGGAGATTTCCTAAGATTTGCCTGGTGGTGGTGATGAGTTACTCCTCATAAACTCAATTATTTGAAATTTTCATAGGACTTGTAATTGGAAGGGACCTTTGAGACCAGATTCTAGTCTAATCTCCTTATTTTACAAATGGGGAGACCAAAACCTAGAGAAGTTAAACAGTTATCTCAAGGTACTAGTAATAGTAGTAGTAGTAGTAGCAGTAGGAGTAGTGTAGTAGGAGTAGTAGTAGTAGGAGGAGTAGTAGTAATAGTAGTAGTAAGACAAGCCCAGTGGTATGTTTTTCTTGCTAGCCCATGCTACTGTCTCTTTCAGGACTTCAGAGGAGTAACCCAAATGCCTCCAGGGGATCTCCCAACAGAAAGTACTGTGTTCAACCACACACACCTCTCCTCTCTCAACCCCCTTAGCCCTATCGGCCAGGAGACTAAGAAACAAGGAAGGACCAAATCTAGCCAAGGAAAATTGTAAAATAGGGGAGCGTGATACCCAACACACCTCCAGGATACCCAGCATTCAAGGGTATTAACTAATCTGCGACATACCTCCAAGGCTGCATGTCCTTAGATCACACATACATTATCCTTCTGTGCCTCAGTTCCCCCATCACAAAAATGGGGTAATAGCAACCTACCTCATTGGACTAGGGTTGAAGCTGAGTTGACTCTGGGTGGCCATGTTATGGCCTGTTACCTCTAGGTTCCTCTTTTCCCTCCGTGAGGGGGAACTCTTGTAGCGTCAGCCTGGGAACCCATGCTTGGTAAGGGCAGGAAAGGCCACCTTCCTTGTTCTTAGCTCATGAAACTTTGTCAGAAACGGAAGAGGCTGAGAGATCAGCATCTTGGAGAAGAAAGCAAAATTCTGCCTGGGAACACTGAGAAGCACCGGCCAATCCTTTTCCCCTCCCCAAATCATTTTAGTGTAAAAATGAAAAAAAAAATGGCCAGGATGGCTAGCTGTTAATGCACTCTAAATCCCAACCATATTTCGTGGTAGCTGCTTGGCTCTGATTGCAATAAAGCATTGTATTCTCCTAAACCTGCCCAGGACCCACTTTGAAAGGACCCTAGATGGGAAAGCCCAGGAAAACCAGGGGGTTCAACGCAGTGGCCAGAGGCCCTTCTAGCTCAGATATTCAGAGTCCGAGATTCTCTGGGCCATAACATTCTGTGTTAAAGGCATGAGTGTTTGTGGTGCTGAGGAGAGCCTGGGACCAGAGATCAATTGTTTCACCATACAGATGCAGCATAGCATTAGGAGGTGATGTTCACATCCTCCTGGGAGCACCTGTTTGGACTCCAAGAGACACCAATGAAGAGCAGCACGCCCTAAGGCCCTCCAGCGTCTTTCTCACTTTTAAGGAGCAGTGGAAAACAGCTGGTGATAGCATTTAGGCTAGCTGAGCCCCAGCTGGGTTGGTGGCCTAACTCCCCCCACCCCCACCCCCACCCCACTCTAAGCCTTCACTTGACAAACCAAGTCTTCTTTGTCTCCTGATTTCAGTAATACTCCCACACCTGCCACATTCGAACTGTGTAACTGCTCTTTCCCCCCCTAATTTCGCCCCTCACCCCAACAAATACACAGAATGAGGGCCAGAGCTTGGCAGGGTCATAGGCAGGTGGTATACACGTTGGTGACATCACCTACAGCCTGGCCCATGCTGTCCAGCTCAATGCAGATTGAAAGGAGATTGTCCAGGGGTGTGGATTTAAAGGAGGCCATTTTTTTTTTCCTGCAAAACAATAACTGAAGGAAAGCATCTTTCTTGTACCTATCCCCCAGGAGGCCTTGTTTATAGTGGGTAATAGAGGTATGTAGGGGGGGTTGAATATATGGGTAGAGAACCAAGATCCTGAGCTGTGGCCACACCAGTTACAGCCTTTGGGGCTGTATGAAAATGAGCAATGAAAAATGGACAAGGGGATGGGAGCCAAGGAGCCAACCCCTAGTCAACCCCTCCCCCACTCAGGGTTGGGGTGAGGGGAGATGGAGAATGACAATGAGCCCTTGATCCCAGGCCAACAGAAACACATAAAGGTCCTGCCCCCTGCCCCTCCATGGACCGATGATCTCTAAGCTTCCGTTTGGCTCTGCTGACATTCTTGAATTGTGCAATGAGCAGGAAGAACCCAAGAGATCTGGAAAGGCCATGAGGCCAGACTTGTGGTTTGGGGTGGGGGGGTGGGGGTGGCTGCAGAGGAACCCGCAAGACCATCCTCTGGAGGGCTGCCCCATGAGGGGACACCCAGGGCTACGCTCTCGTATCTGTGTTGGTGTCTGTGTCTTGAAACGTAGAACCATTTCTTGGGGTACAAAGGGGAAGGGAGGGTGGTCTTTGTAGGAAATCTTCCCCCAATCCCCCGCCTCCAAAAGGAGCAGAAATGGATTGTAGTGCACTGTGTACCTGAGATGTTAACTGTTGAAAATGAACGCGTTTCCTCCAATTGCTGTTGGTGGCCAGTGGCCTAAATTATTAATTTATTCTTTTCCTTTAAAAGAAGATGAAGAAAGCAGCCTTTGTAACATGTATTTATCCTGTAAGTAGGTCTTGAGGTTGGGAGTGGGAGGGGGCGGAGGTTGGGAGTGGGAGGGGGTGGAGGGTGGGGAATGGGTTTAACATAGCTAATGTTTCTGCCATTGATGAAATATGGTACAGGCCCAGTGAAAGTGAATGCCCTTGTAAACTGCCATGGACAGCAGGGTGAGAATAAAGGCAAAGAGAAATCTGATCCGCGGAGTTCATCTGTATCTCATGCAAATGGTGGATAGAGCTTGAGGGCCCAGCCACCATCCCAGAATCACACACCTCTCATGTCCAGGATGCTTGACACAGTGACCCAGGGAGGTAGGCAGTGCAGGTATTATCCCCGTGGTTCAGAGGAGGAGACCACAAGGCCCAGAGAGTCGAGGTGATCTGCCAGAAGACACACAGCCAGAACACAAGCCCAGTCCAGTATTGCTGCCTAATACATAGCTCAGGATCATGGACAGAACTGGAAAGGGACTTGAGAGGTCATCTGGTTAACCCCTTTATTTTACAGATGAGGAAACTGAGGCTGAGAGAGGTTTCAATTCAGATGGGGAAACTGAGGCTTATTCAAGTGACTTGACTGGGCTCAAATTTGCACTCCACTGCAGACTGATGTTTGGCCAGGTTCTGTCCCTGTCCAGAAGGTAGCAGGAAGCATCTTTTGGTGTCCCAGTGCTGAATTCTCCCCTACTTGAGATCCCTCAGAAGAGCTCCCATTCTCTCCCCTCCCTTTCTTATCAGATATCTTACTTAATCTCCCACTTCTTGCCTGTCTCCAAGACTTCACTTTCAGTCTCAGCTTTGGTCCCGCCAACTGTGTGCAGTTAATCTTGTGTAATCATCTCACCTCTCTGGGTCTCTGTTAAATAAGTACTCATTCTATCATGATTTGTGGTTTACAAAGTTGAAGTCAATAATGCAAATGGCATCCCCATTTTACAGATGACAAAACTGAGGCTCGGGTGAGCTTATAGAATGTCCCACTGTCCCTACGTATCAGAGCCAGGAATTTTGACTCCAAGATAGTACTATTCCTCTTTCACTGAAGAGGGCTGACTCATCCCCCAAACTTTCTTCCATTCTCCTTCCCTCTTCCCTTCAGCTTGCCTCTACTGGGGACAGTTAGAAGAGAATGCTGTGGTCAAGACTGAAGGCATGAGGAGAGAGAAGGGAAATGCTCCTCCTTGGAAACCTTCCCAAGTTTAAGCCTCAATATTTCCTCAGCCCCAGGGGATGAGGAAGAAGATGGAGGAGGATAATAATTTTCCTGAGACTGCTCAGGGCTGTTTACCTAGTCCAATATTGCCAGGCCCCAGCCTGGGAGTGATCCCACCATTGCTGTCTGGCAGGTTGAGGGGAAGGGAAGCTGGAGAAGCAGATCCACTTTACCTCACAGCAGAGACTTTCTGTACAAGTGAGAAGAGCATTGGGTTTTGAGTCTTAAGGTGAGGACACTGGTGACTTGCCTAGGGCTCCTATCCTACCTCTGATATTAGCCATGTGATCATTTCTTCAGAATCTGTTTCCTCTTCTGTAAAATGAAGACAATATTAGTCCACACTCAGGACCTACTATCTCCCTCCCAGGACTGGTAGAGTGTGGCAGAAATGTACATATAATCAGTCAAACTGCAGTTTCACCCCTAAGAATTTGACTTCACCTTGCTATCTGAGAGTGGAGGAGAATAATTGCTCCCCCTGCCCAAAGCCCAGGAGCACCCTTTCTCCTAAAACTTTACCCAGGGCAGCTAGGTGGTAAAGTGAATAGAGCACCATCCCTGGAGTCAGGAGGACCTGAGTTCAAATCTGGCCTCAGACACTTGACAGTAGCTGTGTGACCCTGGGTAAGTCACTTAACCCCAATTGCCTCGCCAAAAACAAAAAAATTTACCCCTAGGAGACTGTACCCAGTATCTTATTAGTCACAGACCATCCTGGTGAGGGAAAATGACTTACACAAGTCACACCATCAGTGACAAGAGTCAGATTTGGGACCCAGCTCAGGAATTCCTGGTCTAGAGTCTGGCTCAAATGCCAGCTCCATGGCCAAGCTGTGGGGTCCTCCTCCCAGGCCACTCAGGCAAGAGAAATTAGATTATAGGAAGGAAGAAGTCACAGACCCAGAGGATCTCAAAACTGGGTTCAAATCCAACCCTGCTACTTGGGTGAAAGTGTGATCTTGGGGAAGTTACTTCTGCCTCCAACCCTGTTTTCTCCTCAGTAAAAAGGCGGCCTTGGACTAGCTCAGCTGCAAGGCCCCTTCCAGCTTTAACTCCTATGAACTTCAGAGACCACTTACTTCACTATCAGAACAAGAATCTAACCTACAATCCTGACACATGGTCATCCAGACTCTGCTTCTGATGGGTGATGCCCTAGCTGAGACTGCCCTTAAAGCACCTAGTCCCCAGGCTCCTTTTCTCACCCTCACACTAAGCCTATGTACATGTCATGCCTCCCATCCCACTCAGCTCCAATCTTCTATGGAATAGAAGCTGCTTGAGGGCAGGAGCTTTTCTTTTCTTGCATTTTGAATCCTTGCCTTGAGCACAGGATCTCCCCCAGATCAGAGCTTTTGATAAATGTCTGTTGAATGAGGTACTCACTCCCTACTACCTACAGCCCATTTCACTTTGGGGCAATTCCCCTCAATAATGAAGGGATCCTGTCTGGTGAGGGGAGTTGGGAACAACTTTCACATTGCAGTGAAACCATGATTTTATTTTTGTATGTCGCTGTCCTTGGGAAAGCAAAACCAAAAATTGGGTTGTGGGAAACCCAAGACTGGGAGCTAAAGGAAGGAGAATGGGCTGCCCATCTTGGGGAAAGGGGGTTCCCAAAGCTGTCTCCCCCTATCGGGAGAGGATAGTACCCTCCAGCCAGTGCCTCCCTCCAGTTCACTAGCTATTCCTCCCCCTCCCCTTGCAGTTACTTTAGCTCTGGACTCTCACCACTCACTTACCTCAAACAAACAAAATCAGAGCTTGCTAGGCCTCTGACCTAACCCCCAAAGCCCTACCTATTTTGTTATTTTTGGTGAGGGTTTTGTTGGTTTGAGACTGAGTACCCCCGAAAGGGTCCAACCTCAGCAGTGATCTGCATAGAAGGTATGACTTGCTGATTGCTTTCTGACCTAAGTCAGTTCACTTCTCCCATTGGCAACCTGGTGGTGCCCCTCCCAACCTTGGGGGGCTGGGAGGGGAGACAGGGACCCAAGGACAGGCTCACTCCATTGGTGCCAGGCTTCCTCTGGGCACCTGGTCAGCTTTATCCCTCCTGCATCTCAGAACTCCTGAGTTCAAGCAATCCACCAGCCTCAGCCCCCTCAGTAGCAAGAGTGCCACCTGTCCCAGGTGAACCCCTTATTGCTATGCTAATGGCTGATGATGGTGGCTCACTCATTCTGTACTCCGGCTTTTCCCACAACAACCCCTTGAGGTTGGGAGATGAGGACACCAAAGATCAAAGGTAATGTGACTTACCCAAGGTCCCATATGGGGCAAGTAACAGAACTGGACCCTCAAGTCCTGTATGCATGCTAAACTAATAATATAAAATGCTCCCCAATTTAAAAAAGATACAAGGATCTTAACATGGGCAACTCTAATGGGACTAATCAGGCACCATAATGAGCTGGTAGAGGGCACTCTCAGATCAACCATTTCTGAGCCTCAGTCTCCTCATCCACAAAATGGGGATAAAAACATACCACCAATATGACTAGGAGGTTGTAAGGATAAACTGAGGCTGCATGGTTTAGTGAAAATGCTGGGTCAGAGGATCTGGGTGTGAATCCCAGCTCTACCTGTGAGTACCTTCTGAGAGTCCCTCTCCCTCAGTTTCCTCATCTGTAAAAAGAGATTGGACCAAGGTCCTTTCAGCGCTCCCTCTCTTAGGACTAGAGTGGTCTCCGGGGTCCCTTCCTATGGTCTATTTAACCTCCTACGGTCTAATGGATGTGAAAACATTACAGAAATATAGCTACCACATCCAGAACAGAACCCTTTGCTGGGTCACCACTCCTCTCTCCTAGCTGCAAAATGTGCTACTCTCTTAGTAAATTAAACAGCAGTCATGGGTAAATCAACCACATTTCAACCACGGCCAAGGGACCAGGCCCAGGTTGAGTCTTTCCTGCCCTACAGAAGACGGAAGCAGCGGTATAGAGGTAGTATAGAGGTGAGTGGGCAAGGTCACTGCCCATCGTACTGTACATGCAATTGGCAAAAGCTGGCAAAGAATCCTGGCTTTGCTAACCATGACCTTGAGCAGGTCAGATCCCTTCTTGAACCTCAGTTTCCACATTTGTAAAATAAGGGGGTTAGATTGGATGAATTCTCTAATAGCTCTAAATCTGATTGTTCTATAATGATCCTATGACCACACTGAGGCCTCCAGAATGAATAAGTTAATTAAATTAAGTGCTCTGCTGAACATAATAGAATAGGCTTAACCACTGGGGTATCACAGACACCTCTGGCAATCTGGTGATGCCTACAATATTCCCCCTTCTCAGCATCATGCTTTTAAAATAATTAAAGGAAATGCTAAATTCAGTGGTGAAGGCAAATAAAGATGTTGGGTTTTTTTCCTCCATCCAAGTTCATGAACAACCTGAGCTCTATCCATGGAGCCCTAGGTGGGGTGGGGTGGGGTAGAGGAGGTCTGTGGGTCCCAGGTTAAAGATACCTGCACTAGGGGAAAAAAGAAAGGTTATGTCGACACCCACACTCCCTCACCCATTCTTCTCCATTCTATGATCTCCCCAATTTTGAGAGTTCAGAGTGTGTTATCAGGGAATGATGACCTTTTTTGTGAGTGATAGGGAAGATGAAGGGGAGAAAAAGGAAAAGGGGTAAAGAGGCAAATGCTGCATGACGGCAAAACATTAGAGCCGTGAAGGTCAGTGATGCCTCATCTCCCCAAGCCTGATCATGTACTTTTGTAATAGAATATAACTGTCACATAAACCAGGCCCAGGGAAGGAAAGCATTTGTCTTTGACTGGTCACCAAATATGTACTTGAGTCAAAGCATTATTACTGGAGGACCCTGAAATAGCCGTTATCACCCAGCAGGCATTTCAGTGAAATCAATGAGGATAGAAATTTATGTGGCATTTGAACGGTCTTTCATGTCTACTAGGCTTGAGTACTCTCTCAAAGTCAGGTCCTGATGACCCAGCTCCTAGAGCCAATTGACCAGAAGCCCATACTCCCATGGGCCCTAGGCTGGGCCTGTACCATTAACCTCTGCCTCTACCCCCTCAGAAAAGGGTCAGAATCTCCTCCTTACATGCCCATCCTCTGGAAGGTATAGTCAGAGAATCTCAGAGCTTGAAGGGAGTTCAGAGGTCATCTAGTTCAACTTGTACCTGAATAGAAACCCCCTCTACAATGTCCCCAACAAGTGGTCATCTGCCTTTTGTTCGCATATCTCCCATGATGAGGAACTCACTCCCCACGGAGAAGTAGCCCGCTCCATGATTGGACAGCTCTGAGCTGAAATCTGCTCTCCTTGACTTTCTCCCATTGTTCCTACTCCTGCTAGGAAGCTAGGCGAGGAAGGACAAGTCTGCTTCCCATATCTGAAGACAGGACCCTGTCCAACCTAGGTCCTCAGTTGGTATGGTGAAACCTCTGAGCCCACCCTGTCTTGTCCTGCTTAAGGAAGAAGGGGCCTGAGGTGGCCTTGCAAGGGAAGGGGTATCACAGAGCAGGCTGGGGACTAGGAAGAGTGCATGGGATTGGGGTCAAGACCCCTAGAAGACAAGTCTGTGGAAGGAGCTGCCACTGCCTCCAGCAGCTGGGTCACAGCCCCCTGGGGAGCCTTCGTCATCCTCATCCTTGTCTTCATCAAAGTCCCTCCCCCAAGGGGGAGATTTGGGCAGCGCGGAGATGTAGGCTGATCTGCTCCTGGCTTCCTTTTCCTGCTCCTGGAGACAGAGAGAGGGGTTTCAGGTAAAGGGGGTGAGAAGGGAAAAACAGAAGCTCAGGATCAGGACTGGATGTCAAGGATGACCCCAGAAAAATAGGAAGTCAGGCAAGATGGTCACAGAATCAGAGCCACAACTAGAAGCCTTGGTGTTGGGGCAAACAGCTCAAGACATGTCCTTGGGCAAGCCATCCAAACTGTGCCTTCAAATGAATGTTGTAATTTATTTGAAAATAACAAAGGAGTAATTAAGATAAATTCGGTCAGAGGGGAGGGAGAATCAGTAACTCTAGTGACATCTTTGCTGCTAGAGTGCATGTGTTTGATTTTTCATCTTTTAAATTTTGGTGCCTTGTGGCAAAGCCCTCATCACCCCACCTTAGTTATGGCTCTGTACAGGATCAAGAGAACATTATTAGCATAGGATAAGGCCTTAAAAATCATCTAGTTCAGGGGTAGGGAACCTGAGGCCTCATCCTTTTATTATGGGGATCTGTTCTGTAAAGTTTGGATTCAGTCAAAGGGCCACACTTGATGACCTGGAGGGTCACATGCGGCCTTGAGGCTGCAGGTTCCCCACACCAGATTTCTAGTTCAACCCTCTCATTTTAAACTGAGGACCAATGTGGGGAAGTGATTATTCATGGTTGCATAGCTAGTGAATCACAAGGCCAGGAAATGACTTCAAGGAAAATAATTGTCTAATGGTGGAATTTCAGGCAGCAGGGGAATGGGAGGCAGACTCTAGTTATAGAAAGAGCGTGTTTCATTTTTTGAGGTGGTCTTTACTGTACAAATGCCCCTGATTCCCCAGAATAGCTCTTAAATTATAGCAGAAAAAACCAGAAATTCAAAATACTAGGATTCATTCTAATTCCAGGTCTGTCCCAACCCGGCCTGAAGCTTAGGTAAGCGGTGACTATAAAGTAGCAGGAATGAATGTTTAACAAACACACCAGAACTTGCGTGTCCAAGGACAATGCGAGGATTCCAGTGCTGGATGGGAGCACCGAGGGCATCCTAGCCTTGATGCGGGAAACAAGCATCAGGTGACCCAAGGGGCTGGACAGAGGCCTGAAAGCACCAGAGGCTCTCAAGTCCACTTTCAAGTTCCGCCTTCTCCCCGAAACCTTCCTTGTGCCCAGGGTGGCATGACAGGAAGAGTCCTGGGCTTGGAGGTGGAAGACCTTCGAGATCCATAACTGCCACTTACAGCAACTATGTGGCATAGTGTATAGAGCTCGGAGTCAGGAAGACCCGAGTTCGGCTCTGACCCCAGACACTGGCTGAGTGCCCCTGGGCAAGTCATTTAAATTTCTGTCTGCCTCAGTTTCCCTAACTGTAAAATGGGGATAATAATAGCACCTACCTCACGTGGTCGTTGCGAGCATTACAAGAAAATATTTGTAAAAATGCTTAGCACGATACTTGGCACATAGTAGGTAATTAATAAATGCTTATTTTCTTCCTATTTGTGTGATCTGTATCTGACTACTATAAGGCCCCTTTCTGGGCCTCAGTTCCCATGTCTAGAATGAGGAACTAATAATACTTGCATTCCCTAGATCACAAGAATATTTGTTTTTGTTTAGTTGTTTTCAGTCGTGTCTGGCTTTTTGTTTTTTTTTTATAGGCAGTTAGAGTTAAGTGACTTGCCCAGGGTCACACAGCTAGTACGTGTCAAGTGTTTGGTCTGAGGCCGGATTTGAACTCAGGTCCTCCTGACTCCAAGGCCAATACTCTATCCACTGCACCACCTGCTGCTCCTGTGTCTGACTCTTCATGACCCCTTTTGGGATTTTCTTGGCAGAGATACTAGAGTGGTTTGTCATTTCCTTCTCTAGCTCATTTTACAGATGAGGAAACTGAGGCAAACAGGGTTAAGTGACTTGCTCAAGGTCATACGCTTACTTCGTGTCTGAGGCTGGATTTGAACTCAGGTCTATTCTGACTCCAAGGCTGGCACTCTATCCACTATGTCACCTAGCTGCTACTCATAGGAATATAGTAAAACTCAAAAAAGCTATAGAAATGGGGAGCTGTGGGCCAAGAACTCTGTCAGAGCTTTGCAAGGATCATAGTGTCTGACTTCCTCCTTTTACAGATGCCCCAAAGACCAGATATATTAAATGTCTTTCACAGTTGGCAGAGCCCTTCTTTGATCGGACTGTTTGAACACCTCCAATGACGGGGAGCTCACTCCCTTCTGAGACAGCCTGTCCCATTGTTGAGCATCTTGGATTTAGAGATCTTCATTCTTTTGAGCTCAGATCTGCCTGTTTTAAAAGAGGACCCATGGCTCCTAGTTCTACACTCTAGGGCTAAGAGAAGATCATCTCTCAGTCCTGACCCTGGCCCTTCCTGCCTGCAGGACTTGGGGACACCACAGAGCAGGCTCTTTTAATAACATCTCCAGCCACGAGATCCCAGCCCCATCATCTTCATCTTTGTCTTCCAGGTGTCACCTCCTCCATGAAGCCCTCCTTCACCCCTTCCCTCTCCCCATGTATTCACTCTCTCTCCCTTGGCTGCTCCCTCCCCTCCCCCTCCCCCCAAAGCAGCTGTATTAGATTTAAAGTTTCTTGGACAGAAGAGCTGCATTGTCCCTTTTTGATTCAAGATGTAAAGGGGCAGATTTTCCCACGTGACCTCTTGCGTGGCCCAGAAAGCAATTCCTAAAAATGTTTCCTAATACAGTCCTAATAAATCATAAACAGGGCTGTCTGGTTGTGGATTCCAAAGGGGCTGGCATGGTGGGGTAGAAAGAGGCCTGGACTTGGAAAATCTAGTTCAAAGAAAAGATCTGGTGGGGCAGCTAGGTGGCACAGTGGATAGAGCACCGGCCCTGGATTCAGGAGGACCTGAGTTCAAATTCGGCTTCAGACCCATAACACTTACTAGCTGTGTGACCCTGGGCAAGTTACTTAAGCCCATTGCCTAGCCAAAAAATAAAAAAAAGATCTGGGTTCAAGTCTTACCCATCCTTAATGACCCTAAGTCACTTTGCCTTAGTTTGCCTTACTTTCCCCTGCAGTGAAATGAGGGAACTAGACTAGAATAGGGATCTTTTGCGTCATAGACTTCCCCCACAACCATATTAGTCTGGTGAAACCAATGGGTACCTTCTCAAAATAATGTTTCTAAAGATAGAAAATAAAATACATAGAGTTACAAAAACCAAATGTATTGAAATATAGTTATCAAAATATTTTTTAAAAACAAACTCATGGACCCCAGGTTAAGACCCTCTCATCTTTAAAGTTCCTAAATTTATGATCCTAGATCACACTTATTTGATCACCTAGGTTCTAATCACAATGGCTCTTGACTATCTAAATGAAAAAATTATCAACTCTGGTCTTCAAGGGTTTCTGCAATCTAGTTCCAAGTTACCCTTCAACACCCTGTGTTCTCCTGAAATTAGAGAACTTTCCATCCCCTTTTCTCATGCTGCTTTCTCCCATCCCTCTTGGCTGGAGCAGTGAAATTCTCCTAGACCTCATCTTCATCTGGTGAAGACCCTCCCTTCCTTTAAGGTCCAATTCATGTAGAAAGTTTGTCCTATTGGGCAGGTTTAGACCCGCCTGGATACAAATGGGCAGACTCATCGACCAGTCCTCGGTCTCCATGCAAAGGGAATGGGAGAGATAGCTGATTTCAGTCACTTCTTTGCACATGTGCCCACTGAGAAGGAGCTTTGCAGGGAGACATGTTCTCTGTTTAAGAGGACACAGAAACGCGTTGTTCCAGAGGACCACCTAAGAGGCAAAATGGTGAAATACAAAGATCCCTGACTCCCAGAAGACTCCTGGTTTTAGTCTCAGCTGTGCCATTGACCTGTTGTATGACGAGGACATTCACATGACATTTCTTCTCTCTGGGACTTACTTTCATCATATAAACGAGGGAAATGAATGAGAGGGTCTCTATGGTCCTGTCTAGCTTTAATACTCCATGTTCTCTTTTCTAACATTCTACATTCTAAGGTCCTTTCCAACGCTAGTGTCTGATATTCTAACATTCTGTGTTCTGTGGACCCTCTGATATTCTATGTTCTGATGTTCTAGGATCTACCATTCTACGGTCCCTTCTGTTACTAACATTTTATGTTCCACATTCTAACCTTAGGTTCTAAAGACCCTTCTGGCCTGAACATTGTGTGACTCTCTAAATAGCCCCCTCTCCTAAGGGCACTAAATTTGGGACAGATTTTATTTTTAAATCATTTAAATACAATGTTTAGGGGAACACAGCTATTGTACAAAGCAAGGCACAGCTGTATCTGTGAGGTGGTCCTGGCAAGCTTCACTTCAAATATAAGATGCATGGGGTCAGGATAGAAGGAGAGTAGGAATGTCTGTAACTTCCCTAGAGGGACATAACAGCAATAATAGTTACAAATCACTCCCACAGTGTGGATGGTCATAACCACTCTGGGAGGGATGCAGTGTAAATCACAATATTCCCATTTTACAGATAAGGGTATTGGAGACTCAGAGTTAGAAGGAAGGCCCACCTAAGTGTTTGGGGCCTGCTCTGCTCACCTGCAGGTAAAGAATGTTGTCTTTAGATATGGCTTCAATCAAGTCTTTGTGCAGGGCTGGTTCACTGTGGGGTCTGGGTGACCTGGGTTCTGCTCTAAGCCCCTCTCTGGCTCGCTGCCTGTAGAACAGCACATAAGCTGTGTCCTTGGGAAAGAAGGAGGTGACATTACTGACTGACTCGAAGGAGGAGAAGGAGACCCGAGTGTCATTGAACAAATACCACTGGCTCTCCAGTCCTGGGGGCTTTTCAGCAGATGAGAGACCGGTGGACCCTGGTGAGTTGACTGTGGCTGTTTTCCCTTCCCGGGCGTAGCAGTAGTAATGGCCGCTTTCCGAAGAGATGCCCGAGTGCACCACAACACTGCAGAGGTCATAGGCTGCACAGACCTGGCCCTGGTCCTGCTGGGGGCAGCCGCCTGCCATGGGAAGCCGAAGGAACAGGGGGATGGAGACGTTGTCCAAGATCTTCTTCCGACGCATGGTCCGTAGGTCGAAGGAGAAGCGCAGAAGGGTGAGGATGAGGTAGCGGGGTCCCTTGCTCAGCTCAACCACCTTCTCTGCATCCTGCAAGGAGGCACAGTGCTCACAGTGATAGCGGTTCTCGGCCGTCAGCGTCTCTGGTGACAGGAAGTAATTGAGAAGATCTGGGACTGACCGAGAACCCTCAGGGCCACACATCTGCTCCCCACAGGCAACCCCCGGGTTCCCTCCAGTCCTCGGACCTAGGCAACCTTCCTCTTCTTTCTTTTTCTCCTCCTTTTCTTTCTCCTCTTTTTCCTTTTTCTCCTCTTTCTTTTCATCCACCTTTTTCCCCTTCTTTTTCTCTGCCTTTTCTTTTACTTCCTTCTCTTTCTCCTTTTTTTCTATTTCCTTTTCTTCCTTCTTTTTCTCCACCTTCTCTTCCTCCTTTTGCTCCACTTCCTTCTTTTCTTCCACCTCCTTCTCTTCCTTCTTTTTCACCTCCTTTTTCTCCATCTCTTTTCCTTCCTCCTTTTCCTCTACCTCTTTCTCACCTTCCTTCTTTTTCTCGACCTCCTTTTCCTTTTCCTTTTTCTCCATCTCCTTCTTTTTCTCTACCTTTTCTTCCTCCTTTTTCTCTACTTCTTTCTTTTTATCTACCTCCTTCTCTTTTCCCTTCTTTTTTTCCAACTTTTCTTCCTCCTTCTTTTGCTCCACTTCTTTCTTTTTCTCTCCCTCTTCCTTTTCCTTCTTCTTTTTCTCTACCTTCTCTTCTTTCTTTTGCTCCACTTCCCTCTTTTTCTTCATCTTTTTCTCCATCTCCTTCCCTTCCTCCTCCTTTTTCTCTACCTCCTTTTCTTCTTCCTTCTTTTTCTTCACCTCTTTCTCTTCCTTCTTTTTCTTCATCTTTTTCTCCATCTCTTTCCCTTCCTCTTCCTTTTTCTCTACCTTCTTTTCTTCCTCCTTTTTCTCCACCTTTTCTTCCTCCTTCTTTTGCTCTCCTTCCTTTTTTTTCTCTTCCTCCTTTATCTCCACTTCCTCTTCTTCCTTCTTTTTCTCCACTTCCTCTTTTTCCTTCTTTTTCTCCACCTCTTTATCTTCCTCCTCCTTTTTCTCTACCTTCTTCTCTTCTTTTTTCTCCACTTTCTCTTCCTCCTTTTTCTCAGCCTTCTTCTCTTCTTCCTTTGGTTTCTCTACTTCCTTCTCGTTTTCATTCTTTTTCTCCACCTCCTTCTCTTCATCCTTTTCCTTCTCTTCTTTCTCCTTTTGATCTTTCTTATCTGCCTTCTCCTCTTTTTTCTCCCTCTCCCCCATCTTCTCCTCTTCCTCCTCTTGCTTCTTCTCCTCTTCTTTTTTCTCCTTTTTCTGAGCCGTCTCGTCCACATCTTCTTTCTCCTCTTCCTTTTTATCATTGTTCTCTTCTTTTTCTTTCTTTTCCTTTTCATCCTCTTGTCTGAAGTTGCCTCTGTGCCCTCCGGGTTCCTTGAACCCAAGGATCTCAATGCTCACAACTGGGGGCAGAGCATCCCCAGCGATACAGTGCTTTCTCTGTCTCCGGGCCCCCTCAGTGCCTGTGGCTTGGGTCTTGGCTGGCGATGGAGGGCATTGGACCCTGCCATCTTCCACTGGCAGCATGACAGAGCCCAGGCGACGGCGACGGCGGTCATGGGGTGGAAAGGCCAGGGAGAGGTCCGTGAATGCTTCCTCTCTGGTGGAGACATTAAGGCAGCGGAGACAGCGGATGCGTGTCACAATCTTCCCACCAAACATTTTCTCTACGGCTGTTGGGCTTGGGCTTGGATGTTCCTCTGATGGGGATGGTGTGTTTGACTGTTTGAGCTTCTGGCAAATTCTCTTCCCTGTTTTCTCTTCTTCGTGCAATCTGTAGCAGGATTGAGGAAAGGAGGGCGTGCAGAGAAGAAAGACATACACCATCAGCACACAGTATCTGTATGCATATACACATGTATTTCAACCTAATCACGTATACATTCATACACTCACATGTGAATACATATAGGTTTGAATTTATGCATGCATATATGCATACATGATATATATATACACACATTTATACATGCACATGCATGCAGGCATACGTGTACATGAATCATAAGACCACACAGTTATAAACATCTTTATGGTTTCAGATGGCCTTATCATATTGTTTCAATGTATCTTCACAACAAGACTATCAGACCCATTTTATAAATGTGGAAACTGAGGCTCAGACAGAGAGAGAGAGAGGAAGTGATTTACCTAAAGTAGTAAGTTTCAGAGTGGAATTCAAATCCAAGCCTCTGAACTCCTAATTCTGTGTTCTTTCCACCTACCAAAGCCACCTCTGTCACATATACACACTTGAGCTTTCAGATAAATATACATATTCCTATAACTGGATACAGACAAGAACACAGAGTTACAGAATCTTAGAATATGAGAGCTGGCAGGGCCCTTAGAGCACAATCAGAGAATGGGAGAGCTGGGAGGGATGGACCATAGAGCTCATCCCCTCGTCTTCATTTTACAGGTGAAGTAACTGAGGCTCAGAGAAGGGCAGTGACTTGCCAGGTACTGGTCCAGGTTCTGAAGCTAAATCTTCAGACTTCCAGTCTGGGGCATTTCCCGGTCTACTGCCTTGTACCAGCATATGCACAAACATATTTACATATCCACAGATAACTCCCTTATACACATGCCTGTTCATAGACATGCAGATAGAAATGCTATATACATAAATGCACATATAATGCATACTCATTCACATCCTGAGTTATTAATTACATATAGCCATTCAGACGCACACACAAATATATTCATCTTTACATAGTCACACTTTTAAACACACACACATACACACACCAAGTTTGACTGAGCATTAAATATTCGATTTTATCTATCTAAGCAAAGCCAGTCTCTGGAATTCTACTTTTTGAGTTCCCTCCTCACCACTTCCTCCTACTTCCCCCTAATTCTGTTTCTCAGAATTGCTCCAGGCCCCTCCCTCACTCTCCTAATCTCTCTTCCACAACCCTTCCATTTCTCTGAGGCCAGATGCTCACTCTTTCACCCTCAACACAATGGGCCCCATGATCCAAGCACTTCCTGAACCTGGGAGAAGATCCCCAGCAAGTCAGGCTGCCATGGCCCCTACTCCCCTACCCTAGTCGGATCTATCCTGATCTATCAGAGAATAATCTCTGAATCTGAAGGGACCTCAGAGCCGGCTGAGCGAGAATCCCTTTTCCAGGATCTCCCAATGGCCATCCAGCAGTTCACTGAAGCAAGGGAGGTCTTACGCAGCACCTTCCATTTTGGACGGGGCCAATTGTTAGTAAGTTTTTACTTACACTGAACCAAAATGTGCTTTTCTGCAACTTGATACATCTAGAACTAAATAGAACCTTAAGGTACAGCTATTCCAATCTTCTCATTTTATAGAGTCCCAAAGAGGAGAAGTGATGTGTCCAGAGTTAAATAAAGTGTTAACAGCACCTATCTTCCTACTCCAAATCCAGGTGCAGGCCTGAGGGCCTGGTACAGGTCCTCACTATCATTATTTTTTTTTCATTCATTTACTTACTTATATTATTTCATTATCATTATCATCATCATTTATTTATCTATTTATTTAATTATATTATTTCATTATCATTTTTTAAAATCTACCCTGTAATCTACCTGGCATACGTAGATTTTTTTCTGCTTACATCTGGAGTTTGCCTCCTGGTATTTTCTAGCTTGCATTCAAATCCAGTGCTTCTAGCTCTGTCCTCTGGGCCCAAGGAGAAGTACAAATTGATCAGAGACTACAAGGCATTTATCCCATCTGCCCTGAGTCCTCTCTTTTTCAGACTAAACACCAGCAGTTCTTTCATCTGATTCATGCATGGTCTGAATCTCCGGTCCCCATACTATCCTGGAAGTTCACAAACCTGTGGACAGGTTCTACCTGTGACCCTCTGGGATCCTTCATCACTCAGCTCAGCACCTCCTTCTAAACGAGGCCGTTTGTATTCCCCTAACTGTTACTGTTCTTCCCCTTTCCAAAATTACTTTGTATTAATTAATTAATTCATATTAATTACTTCATATTACTTTGTATTAATTTGTACATTTTCCCTCTCAATAGAACACTGGCCCTTTGAGGGCAGGGACTATTTCATTCATGTCTTTGTACTTCCAGCACCTAACATGGTACTTGGCATGTGGTAGGCACTTGATAAATGCGTGTTTATGGATGAACAACCAACTTCTCCTATACCACAAGTCCCATGAGGGCAAGGACAGCATTTTATTTAGCTCTGTACCTCCCTCAGGGCCAAGCACATGGGTTTGCACATGGTGTTTAATAAAGGTTTATTGAATTTAAACACAAGGATCTTGTGATCTCCCCCTATGGATTTCGTAAACCTGGAAACGTTATGCACATGGGAGTCTTTATTACAGTTATCGTCATCATCACGAGCGCTTCATGTATCCACAGTCACATGGTGGGGTAGATGGGGGCTCATTCCGCCAAAAGAGATCATAATCCCTCTACCCTCAGAAGATGCTTTTTGAGAGCTGCAGAGACCCAAATCCTCTGATGATGAGACTGTCCTCACTAAGCCAGGATGGTCCTTACAAAACAGACATAGCCCATCTCTGGGCCCATAAGCAAAGCCTTTCCAGTTGGAAAAGAGGTGTCAGAGTCGGTCCTCGGGCAGCAAGAGCCCAGTGTCACCTCCACCCTATGAAGCAGCATCAGAGCTGGGCTTTTGTTGAGGATTGCAGTTATCAATGTTACTATATTCCTATTATTACTGTATTGCTATGAGAAAGGCATGGTGGATGGAGATTTAAAGTTCAGAAGATCTGAGTTCAAATCCTGATTCTGCCATGAACTAGCTACGTGGCCAAGTCAAGTCACTTAACTTCTCTCTGAGCCTCAGTTTCCTTGTCTTGAAGATGGGAAAAATAATCCCTGTAGTACCTACCTTTATTGTGATAGTCCAATCAGATAAAGCATATAAAAGGCTTCTCCATGTTCCAGGGATCAGTTATTATCAGCGTTACAGCATCTTTCCCTTATTCTCCCTCAGCTCAACAAGGATCCTACATACAAGTCTCATTGCCTAGGCCTTTATAGAATGAGTCAACATTTATTGACTCTGAGCGGTGCCTTGGGCTAGGTGCTAGAGGAGATACTGAAAGAAATAAGAACGCATTCTCTTGCTGATCCATTGGAGGTTCTACCTGGTTCTGAAAAAGAGTCCCCTTTCTCAGGAGGCTATTTCAGGAACTTGAAATTTTGAAATTTAAGATGTTTCTCCTGATGTTTAACCCAAGACCCTCCGGCTGCAATGGGGGCCATTGGCCTTGTTCTATGTTCACTAGTCAGAGAGCACTGCTTGCCAACACTCCCACTTCCACCTTGCATCAATCCACAAGGCCACCCTTGCTCTTCTCCTCTGGATAAATTAAACCCAGTTCCTTTTATTTTTAGCATAAACTTACTCCCCAGCTCAGGAAGAGGTTTTCCTAGAGAGCCCCCAGTATGATGGCAGCCAGCTGGGTCAGAACCCATGACTTCTGACATTTCCTCACAGAGCTGAGATGCCTGTCTGTCTGTCTGTCTGTCTGTCTCTCCTTCTCTGTCTCTGTGTCTCTCCCTCTCCCTCTCCCTCTCCCTCTCCCTCTCCCTCTCTCTCTCTCTCTCTCTCTCTCTCTCTCTCTCTCTCTCTCTCTCTCTCTCTCTCTCCCCCTCTCCCCCCATGACCTTTCCCTTACCGATCCAGCAGATACTTCAGATACTCAGAGCAGTCCTGCTGAGCACCGGGACTGAACCAGGGCGTCCAGGAGGCAGACAGGAAGCTCTCTGGAGAGACAGCAGGCCGCTAGCAGCAGGGGAAATAAAAGAAAGAAGGTCTATGAAACAGGGTGCAACTTGCCAACTCCCTGTGCTCCAGGGACCAGGCCCTCTGCACCCCGCTCTCCCTCTTAGCCATCACTTTCTTCTCTATGTCCTTAGGAGGAAGTGTAGACTAATGCAAAAAGCATGGAATTTGAAGCCCCAGCTTTGCCACTTCTACTCTGGATGAAGCAGTGTGGGGCAAAAGGAGCTTAGATTTGGACATGGCCAGTGGGTAAATCTGTTTTGCTTAAATACCCATATTTGTTATGAGTGTTTTCTTTCAATTATTCAATGTTGGGATGGTAAGGAAAAGAAAATATTTACTTGTTAATTGGAAAAAAAATAATAAAATTAAATTTTAAAATAATTTAATAGGACAAAAAGAAATTAAAAGAAAAGAAAAGCATGGCCAGGGGTGGTGATGCATGCTTGCAATCCCTACTGCTGGGGGGGCCGAGGCTGATGGATCACTTGAATTTGGGAGTTCTGAGCTGACATTCTGTGATTCTGTCCAGAGGGCAGAACTGGGAGCAATGAGTCGGCACAGGGGGTCGGATCCCCACTGGATGGAGGGGAGAACTTGAAGCTGTCTGTTTGAAAACAGAAAGAAGGGCTTGCCTCAAGAGACAATTAGTTCCTTGTCACTAAAGGTCTTCCGTCAGAGGTTAGATGGCCATTTATTGGGAATGGTGTAGACGGGATCTTATTTAAGCATGGGTTGGTTTCCTTCCCACCCTGAGATCCTATCACTGGCCCATTCCATTGCTCTTCAGATCCAGAGGGTGGAAAGGAAACAGCAAAAAGGTCCAAGTCTCACATCTTCCCTGACCACATTATCTCTCTTCAACCTTACTGCACACATAGCAATTAATCTTTTTAGCTAATTAATCTAATTAATTTATTTACACAATTAGCATCTTACACAGCTTCCTCATGCTGGAATTTCCACGCTACCTGCAGCCAGCTCCCTTCTCTTGGTGAGTTTCACCCAAGGCCTCCATTTTGTAGGGGAATGGGGCCGGACAACTTCCATCCCTCTTCTTGTCTACCTGGCCTTCTACATCATGCTCCTGGGCTCTGGGTACCTTCTCTCCTCTGACCCCCTGACTTTCCGCTCCCCTTTGTGTGTTGTGTATTTTCCCATTAGAATGTAAGCTCCTCAAGGGCAGGGACTCTTTTTCTTTTTGCTTGTATTTTGATCCTGAGGCTTGTCACCTATTCCCAGAAGTGTGAATTATAGGCCTTCCCAGACCAACTCAGCTCATCCCACTCTCTCTCCCTCTTACAAACTATACTGTATGTCTGTATATTTGCCTAGTCACTGAGCACGTCCTGCAGGCCTCACTGCTACCTGCCTCTACCCCCAGACCCCAGGAGTGGGGAGAGACATAGTCACCTGGCTGTGCTCGAGGAAGGCAAAAAGCCACTGCAGCTTGGTCATCAGGGGCTGAGAATTGTCTTCAGGAAGATGCAGAACACAGTGTCGGAAGCTCGAAGCAAGCCAGAGACACACAGGTTAGGTTAGAGATATATTGGGGATAGCCTGGTAGGAGGGCCCATAGATGGAATCACGAACATCAAGCACTGTCATGTGGAAACAGCTTTCAACTCGTTCTGCTTGACCCCAGAGAGCAGAACTAGGAGTAATGAGTGGGTAGCAGCTGCAGGGAGGCAGATTTTGGCTCAGAGGACTTTTTTTTTTTTTTTGAAACAACCAGGGTTAGGTGACTAGCCCAGGGTCACACAGCTAGTAAGTATCTGAGGCCAAATTTGAACTCAGGTCCTCTGTTTGGTAGAACATAATACAATACATTGTGCCACCGAGCTGCTCCTCAGAATTCTAAGAATTAGAGCTATCTGAGGGTAAGCATCTGCCCCTGGAGGTGGTAGGGCGGTGGTAGGGTAACGACATCATAGGATGTTAGCATGAAAAAGGGCATCAGCCGTCAACACCCAGGTTAACAAACCAATTTTACCTTTGACCCAGCAATAGCACTTCTAGGGCTATATCCCAGAGAGATCATACAAATGGGAAAAGGACCCACATGTACAAAAATATCTATAGCAGCTCTTTCTGTGGTTGCAAAGAATTGGAAATTGAGGGGATGCCCATCAATTGGGGAATGACTGAACAAGTTATGGTATATGAATGTAATGGAATACTATTATGCTATAAGAAATGATGAACAGGCTGACTTCAGAAAAACCTGGAAAGACTTGTATGGTCTGATGCTGAGTGAAGTGAACAGAACCAGGAGAACGTTGTATACAGTAATAGCCACGTTGTGCAATGACTAATATTGATAAACTTAGCCCTTCTCAGCAATACAAGGATCTAAGACACCTCCAAAGGCCTCATGATAGAAAATGCTATCCACAAGGAAGAAAGAACTATGGAGTTTGAATGCAGATAGAATTTGCTATTTTTTTTTTCTTCTGTTGTGTTTTGTTTTCTCTTTCTGGTGGTTTCCTCCTATTTGTTCTAATTCTTACCTATAACATCACTAATGTGAAAATATGTTTAATAGGAATATATATGTATAACCTGTATCAGATTGCTCGCCATCTTGGGGAGGGAGGGGAAGAAAAATTTTAAACTCAAAAGCTTAAAAAAAAAATTGGATGCTAAACCATTTGGTGCAAAAAAAAAAAGTGTTGAACAAGAAAAAAAACCCATTTTACAGGAAAAAAACTAGAGGAGAGTGGCGTTTAAACAGAAATTGGGCAAACCTGTCTTGGGTATATTGTAGGGGCAGGACTGAACTCAGTGCACTCTGAGATCTCTTCCAGCTCTGGGATTCTCTGATAAAGGGCATGGACAGAGCTGGAAGCAAACTTAGGAGATTGTATGTCCAAGCTCTTCCTTTTACAGAGGAGGAAACTGAGATCTCGACAGGGGAAGTATCTCATCCAAGGCCACACAGGCAGTGATAGAGGCAGAATTCGAATTTGGCTCTCTTGCCTCAAAAACCCAGTTGGTGGTGGGGGGCGGTGGGGAGACTCCTTTTGGTGCCTTCAGATGATAGAAATTCTCAAGGATTGATCCCTTCAGACCTTGAGAGAAGAGAATGCTTCTATTCGGGACACCCAGCTGGATATAATTAAGGGTAGGGTGCTAAAAAGGAGGGAATCGCCTCATTTGGGGTACCCAGAGACAACAGATGCCTCCAGATGTTTGCTAAGTCTCACAGAGGGTGCCACACGATGAGGTGCAGTGAGGCCTGGCCTCTATCTAGTCTTGGCTCTGCCACTCGGGCCAAGTAATTTTCTCTCCCTGGGCCTCCACAAAATAAAGGGTAGACGCTTTAACTGCTAGGAAGTGTGCCCTTGAAATGAGCTAAAATCTGCCTTCCTGAACCTACAGTCCTCTCTCCCTTGCTAATTTCTATCCACAGCCCCTAGTTCTGTGCTCTGGGGCCAGGCAGAATGTGTCTGATCTCTCTTGCCTGTTCTTGACGACGGTCTTCTCTTCAGGTGAAACATCGTCAGGTCCTCCGACTGATCCCTCTTCTACAGCACGGACTCCTGACCGTTCACCACCCCTGCTCTCTTCCCTCCACCCCTCCTGCCAGGAGCAAAGTTAAGAAACTCCTAAAGCACTACTTACTCGGAGGCCATAAACAGAGCCTGGATCACGCTGTTCATGTAACAGGTGTTCCCCAGGTTGATGAGACCGATCTTGCCTGTGTCTGACTTGGCTGCCAGTCGGGGGTAGAAGCAGACCAGCTCATTCTTCTGGGACGTCCAGGCATTCTGTCCCAGGAGCTGCTTGATCCTGTCTTCATTGGGAACGTGGAGGTCCTGGGGTGGGGGCAAAGGGGGAGAGACAGGGCACTGGGGCCAGTTACTGAAATGCCACCCTCCCCTGGGAAGCCACCCTGGATTACAACCAGCCAGGCCATGGTAGCTCCATGCCTTCTCATCCACACAGCTACACCTGAATACACAGAAGCAACCTGAGGAAGGGAAAAAAGCCCTGAACCAAGAATCAGAGGAGAGCTAGATTCAAATCCAGGCCTTGCCGCTTGCTAGCTGGGTGATCTTGGACAAATCGCTCGAATGCTCTGAGTTTCAATTTCTTAATACTTGCATAAAACAGCTCTTGTGAGGAAGAGAGGCAGCATGGTATAATGGATAGAAAGCCAGCCAGCCTTGGAGTCAGGAAGATATACTCTGGTCATATGGACCAACTCTAAGATTATAAGCTGCAGAGCAGGGTTAGCAGAGTAGAGGGAGGTACTCTGCCAATCTTAAATATAAATGGGTTATTAAAATGGTCATTTAAAATTTTGTTGTTATACTAGACCATTATATTATTTTAAAAGGCAGTATGGGGTAGTGGAGAGAGGCCCAGCCTTGTGGTCAGGAAGCCCTGGGTTCTAGCCTACCTGTGAAGCTAGAGATTATGTAACCCTGGGCAAGTCACTTAATATCTGGGTACTTCACACCACTCCCTAAGACTGTTAAGTCCAGAGAAGTTGCCAATTTGGACCTTGAGAGGGATTTTTTACACTGGGAGTTTCTTATATTGATGAAATCACAAATCCAGGCCAGATAACTATTTATCATTTTAATTCAATAAGGTACGGGATCATTTTAATTGAATGAGATATGGGATCTGACTTTTTGTTAGAACAATGGAATACTAAGCATTTAATGACAAATATTAGCTATTATTATTCACTTCTTTGATATCTGAACTCTTTCCATGCACGCGGATTCCACATCTCAGGTCAAGAACTGTGTCCAACATGCAAGGCCCTGTCCATAGTTGGCCCCAATGCAAATGAGGTAGACTTGTCTGCTGAAAGGAGGATACAGTTAGGAAGCCACAACTAGAGTCTAGTCACTGACTTGCTGTATGCCTTGGGGTAAACCATGTTGCTTCCCTGGGACTCACTTATCTGTTAAAGGAACAGAGAAGACTTGATGTTCTCCACACTTCCTTTCAATTCTAACATTTTGTTCTGTGCTCTAACATTCTGTGTTCTAAAGTAGCTTTCAGCTCTGACAGTCTTTGTTCTAAGATCCCTTACGAATTTAATATTCTATGTCCTAAAGTAACTTCCAGCTTCAACCTTCTATGTTCTAGTCTCTTCTAGGTCTAATATTCTATGTTTTAAGATCCCTTGCAATTTTAATATTCCATGTTCTAATATCCCTTTCTATCCTAGCATTCTATGTTCTAAAGTCCCAACCAGCTCTGACATTCTATGTTCTAACATCCCTTACATGTCTAACATTCTGTGTTCCAAAGCCCCTTTTAGCTCTAACATTCTATATTCTAGTCTAAGGGTAGGGAACAATTTGTTCTGTGAAGTCTGGATTCAGTCAAAGGGCCACACTTGAGGACCTAGAGGGCCATGTGGCCTTGAGGCTGCAGGTTCCCCACCCCTGTTCTAGTCTCTTCTAGGTCTCATATTCTGTGTTCTAAAGTCCCTTTTAGCTCCAACATTCTATGTTCTAGTCTGTTCTAGATCTAACATTTTACTTTTTGATATCCTTTACAGCTCTAGTAGTCCATGTTCTAACACCCCTTTCAGTCCTAACATTCTATATTCTAAAATTCCTTCTAGCTGTTACGTTCTATGTTCTAAGATCCCTTCCAGGTCTAACATTCCATGTTCTTAAGTCCCTTTCAGCTCTAACATTCCATGTTCTAGTCTCTTCTAGTGCTAACATTTTATATTTTAATATCCCTTATAGTTCTAATACTCCATGTTCTAATATCCCTCTTAGCCCTAACGTTCTATATTCTAAAGTTCCTACTGGTTTTGCTGTTCCATGTTCCTTATAAGGTCTCTTCTAGCTCTGACATTCTTTAATTGTGTTCCAGAGTCCCTTTCAGATCTGTGACTCTAAGGTATGTCGCAGACTTTAAAAAATGAGAACAAAAAGCTCAGAAAACCCTGCCCAGTCACTCTTGAGAGATGGGTGTCTGGAACCCACCTTGACGGCCTCCATGACAGGCTCATAGAGGTCCGGGAAGCCTGAGAAGCGGAACACCATGCAGTGGATCAGCTCTGCAAGTTCTTCTAAGCAGTTTGCTCGGGAGTTGGAGTCCTCTTCTGCCAGGGAGGCCACCATTTTGGGGATGTGAGGGAGAAGCTGTGAAGACCAGAAGAAGCTTGGCATGACTGTAGAGGCTTTGGAATGTAACAACATGGCACCAGGCCTAAAGTCAGGAAGACCTGAGTTCAAATCCCCCCTCAGACACTTACTAGCTGTGTGACCCTGGGCAAGTCACTCAACTCCTGACTCTCTCAGTTTCCTCAGTTGCAGAATGGAGATAGTACCTACCTCCAGGGTTGTTGTGAGGATCAAATAAGATAATATTTGTAAAAACACTTAGCACAGTGCCTGGCACATAGTACATGCTATATAAATGTTAGCTATTATAATAGAAACCCCAGTTTCTGGACTTCTCATCTTGGCCCTTTTCAGAGTCTCAGTTTGCCCACTTGTAGTAGGTGCTCTCCACCGTAAAGTCTTCCTCTGATACCTCATCAAAGCGTGGAGGTGACCTGAGGTGGGTCCAGGCTCTGCCATGTCCTGACAAGCTGGAAAGGTTTTGAATACCAGCCCAGCAGTGGACTATGTATCATCTAAGGTGGGGAAAGGCTCATCACCAACTAGATCATAAAATGTTTTGGCTCACAGCAACTCACAAAGACCACCCAAGGTGTGATAGGGCTGGACTTCATATCAATGGAGGGGGCAAAGAAGCAGGGCATTTGGGTGGGAGTGGGGGTGGGGAGAATAGTGCAAAGTACCCTGGACTTGAAGTCAGAAGGACCGGATCAAAATCCTGTCCCAAGCACTTATTAACTAGGTGACTGTAGCTGAGACACTGTACCTCTGTCGGTTTCAGTCTCCTGATCTGTAAAATGGGATTAACAATACTTGAGCTGCACCCTCTACAGGGCTTTTGTGGGAATCTATGAAAAGGTAAGTTCCTCGGGAGTAGCGGTTATTTAATTGATTTTATTCGCATCTCCAGTGCCTGGCACAGCATCTGGCACATGGCAGGTGCTCATTAAAAGCTTGTTTGGCTGACTGGTTAAGAGGCCATGTACTTTACACCCATGTGCACGTAGGTTTGGAAACTTTAAGTTATTACACAAAACTATAACAAAAAATAGTATATTATATATTATCATATATATTTTTTAAAAATATATACCAGGAAGAATGTATGATAGAGCTCAAAGGACCTCCACAAAAGAGAGTCCCTAAGACAGCCTGAGCAAAGCCAGAATAATTGGGCAGCTCCCACTAGGCTAATCCTGTGGGGGATGACATTCACTGCAGAGTATAGAGGTCTGGGCTGCTAACTGAAGTAACAAGGCATATTATTTATCATCTGACCCCACCCGGGGGACTACTAAGAGATTTTAAAACAATGCAAAGCAGGGTTTCTAGTGAGGAGAGTGGAGTAAGACCTCGCTGTCTGTTACTCAATGCACGTGAAGCTACCCCATTTCTTGTTCACTTGGTTCCTACTTCAAGAATAGCTTCTCTGCCCTATCCCCACCGCCCCTTTCCTTTGCCTTTTGAACTCCCACTTAGCTTTGACAACCTAACTTTCCTCCAGGAACTCATCCAACGAATCTCCTGATTTGGTAATGACCATCCCCATCAGACCTCACATAGCACTTAATGTTTGTGCCTCTTTCAAGAATTTACCATGTAATGTGTTCATGCTTATATGGGCTGGTTCCTGACCTTCCTACCCAGCTGGGAACTCCATAAAGGCAGGGACATCATCTTTTACACCTTTTGGCTTGCTCCTAGGGCTGAGCGATGCTCTGTACACAGGAGCTGCTCACTAAAGCATTGTTGAATCAAACTGAACTAAACTGAATTGAGTCTGAGTGAGTTCTAAGCCCAGGACAGAAGAAAAAGTATGGGAGTTAGAGTCATGTAACCAGTTAGCTCTGCCACCATCTCCCTGTATGACTTTGGGTAGGTTGCTTCTCTCTGGGCCTCAGTTTCCTCATCTTCGAAATGAGAGGGATGGGCCAGACCGGGAGTTGGCAAACTATGGTCTAAAGGACAAATTTGGCTTCCATCTGTTTTTGTACGGGCAGGAGCTAAGAATGGTTTTTACATTTCCAAATACAATAAAACTTTATTTAAATGCCATACAAAATCAATCAGGACAGATCTGGCCCACAGGCCTCAGGACCAGATGACCTCTAAGATCCCTCCCAGCTCTGACATTCTTATGTTCTAAGGCCCCTCCCAGCTCTGACATTCTCTGTTCTAAGGTCCCTCCCAGCTCTGACATTCTTATGTTCTAAGGTCCCTCCCAGCTCTGACATTCTCTGTTCTAAGGTCTCTCCCAGCTCTGACATTCTTATGTTCTAAGGCCCCTCCCAGCTCTGACATTCCCTGTTCTAAGGCCCCTCCCAGCTCTGACATTCTGTGTTCTAAGGTCTCTCGCAGCTCTGACATTCTCTGTTCTAAGTTCTCTCCCAGCTCTGACATTCTCTGTTCTAAGGCCCCTCCCAGCTCTGACATTCTTTGTTCTAAGGTCTCTCCCAGTTCTGACATTCTGTATTCTAAGGTCCCTTCTAGAACTGACATCAGTCCATGTGCTTTTAAAGTCCCTTGTAACTACAGTATGATATTCCTATGTTCTAAGTTCCCTTCGAGCTCTCAATCACGCTTTTCCTCTACTTATAGGCTCTGTAGTTACCACCTTCCTTATTATTTTACTTGAAAAACAGGCAAAAACCATCCCTCTCCTTTCCTGCAAAGTTATGAATGGATGAGGAAACACTGATTTCATGCACCAGGAAAACTAAAAATATGACCCTCTCTGGACTTCTCTCTTTCTCCTCACCTTTTTCAGGATCATTTTCACATTGAGGGCTTAAGCTCCCCCTGCTGGCCTAATGTAGGCCATGCCACAAACTCCCGCAAACCTGACTCCCCATTACTACAGCCAACAGGGATTAACTTCCTGTTGAAAAAATCATGGAGACCCTGTTTGGGAGATTGGTGGGGGTGGTCTTTCTTTGAGGCTGTGACCCTTGCTTGCGTTAATGCTCATTTCCCAGGTCTCCAAATTTAATATGCATTTATCAAACACCTAACATACACCAGACTCTGTTCTGGGCACTGGAGGGCAAGGGGTGAGGGATAGGGAGAGGGGGGCAGTGTGCAAAGATGAAACTGGACACTGCCCCCAGCCTTAATGGACAAAAGGGTTAAGAAGGCAGTGTTTCAACTCCTGGAGAAAAGAAGGGATGGGATTAAGGGCACAAATAGAGAGGCTGGCCTTAGTATGGAGAAGAGCTATCTTATTTTTGAGATGGCGGATGATGATGAAGTGATCTAAAGTGTGGAATTTAAAGTGGTGAGGAGAGAAAGCTCATTAAGTGATTTTCCCAAGTTCACACAGCTACATAATAAACATTTGTTGAATTGAAGAAAAAAAAAGTGAAGGCAAACTTTCTCTCCTTCCTATGACCTTCTATCCCGTCCAATGCCAGGAAGCAACATGAGGACAGGTTGGGTTAAGATGGGCACAATAAATTGAAATAATAATCCTTGTACAAGAAATTGGAATGTTAACTTTTGCACTACCTGCCCCACAGGGTTGTTTGTGAAGTGGGAGCAGGGATAGGGATAGAGACTGGAAGGATAGGGAGTTGTTATTATGAAGAACATGGAGATAGGTTTCCAGCGTTCAAGCTGCTCCATTTACTGCCACCCTACCCCTATCTTCCTCCCAGAATGTAGGGGACCAAGAGAAAAACTGTAAGAGTTAACAGACCCCTTCACTGCTGGCACAGGGGACTGGCCTCTGGGAATAACAGTAACACCAATAGCTAATATTTGTGTTGCGTTTTAAGATTTCCAAAGTACTTTACAAAAATCATCTCGTTTATGACCCTAGGAAGGTAGGTGCTATTATTATCCCCATTTTACAGATGAGGAAACTGAGGCAGAGAGCAGTTAAGTGACTTGCTCAGGGTCAGACAGTGGCTAAGGCTGGATTTGAACCAAGGTCTTCCTGACTCCAGGTCCTGTGCTCTACGACCAATAGGAAGAGGTCAGGACATCCAAGGGCAGGCCCAGCCACTTCTTTTGGGGACCCATCCTACCCTTTTTCCCACTCTCCAATCCCATCCATACCTGCAAAAAAGGGACGTCCCAGATGTGCAATCTGGCTTGCACAAACTCCTTACCAGGTGGAAGGCTTCATGGGAGTGCTGGAAACTCAGAAGCATATACTTGAGCACAGACAGTGCAGCCTCCCTCACAATGGGGTAGAGCAGTTTGGAGAAAACCTGAAGAACACAGAATACGACGATGTTAGAAGTGGAAGGGGTTTTGGGACAGAGAATGTTAGAAATCTGAACACAGAACATTGGAGTGGACGGGATCTGAGCACACAGAATGTTAGAACACTGACTTAAAATGTCAGAGCTGGAAGGGACCTTAGAGCGAAGAATGTTAGAACACCAAACACAGAATGTTAGAGCTGTATGGCAGGAGAAATGATGGCCGATGGACGGATGAAATACTACTGTGCAGTAAGAAATGATGAAGGGAAGGGTTTCAGAAAAACCTGGGAAGTCTTACATGAACTGATGCAGAGTAAAGTGAGCAGCAGCACCAGGAAAACAATCTACATATTAGCAACAACACTATAAAGACAAACCAGTGGGAAAGAGGTAAGAACTTTGATCAATGCAATGATCAGCCACAATTCCAGAGAAGGAATGATGAAGCATGCTACCCACCTCCTGAAAGAGAGGTGACGAACTCAGGGGTGCAGAATGAGAGAGAGATTTTTGGATGTGACCAATGCAGAAACATGTTTTTGCTTGACTAAGCATATTTGTTACAAAGGTTTTTCTTTTCTTTTTTTTTTTTAAATAGGGAAGAGAAGTAAGGGAGGAAAAAATAGATTTTGTTAATTGAAAAAATAAAATAATTTAAAAAATAATGTTAGAGCTCTAAAGGGTCTCAGAACGTAGAACACTGAACAGAGAACCACAAAGTCCAACCAAAATGATTCATATTATTTTAATTTTTTAATCCCAAACTTTAACAAACACTAAATAAAATGAGCATTTCCATACACACAGTAGAACAGAAAAAGAGGATTGATTATACAAGGCTTATTAGATACAACTTGCTTTTGTTTTTAAGGATATAATACATTCAACACATTATTTTTAAAAGGGTCCTCAAAATGTCTCATTTGAAAGATAAAGAAACTTCCAAAGCAGAAGGGATTTCAGAGCACAGAATTTTAAATCTGGAAGACAACTTGAGAACATGCGTTAGAATGTCAGAATCTTAAGAAACCTTAAAACATAATACTAACAGAGCCAGGACTTTAAGAACATAGACTTTTAAAACTGGAAAGCATCTTAGTGATCCAGCAGTACAACTCTCCTTATTACACACAAAAGGAATGGAGGCCCAGGGAAAGGAGCTGATTTGCTCAGGGTCATACAGCAGGTAAGCAGTAGAATAAAGGTAAGCATCTTGGCCTCTTGACTCCCAGGCCATCACTCATCCTGCTCTTGTCTCTCTGAGAGCTTCTTGGCCCAGGTGTGAGGAAGAACAATAAATAAACCTCAGCCGCACCTAAACTGCCTTCTATATCACACCAGTCCAGAAAAGCTTGCTGCCTCAGATACCCTGGAAGACACCGGATTTACCCGGGATGCCACGGTTGGTGGAGGGTCAGCTTAGGATGGAACACCTCTATCTGGTGGTACACTGGAACAGGAGACCTGGGTTCTCATCCTGGGTCTCTCACCAGTTCAATGCATGACCCTGGGCAAACCAGTGGACCTCTCTGGGCCTCAGTTTCCTCTTCTGTATAATGGAACAACAACACCTATTTTCAACAGACCTCACAGGACTGTTCCAAAGATCGACATAATATATGTGAAGTGTTTTAAAAAGTAGAAATTGCTAGAAAAATAGAGGCTCTCATTTTTATTACTAACATGATTATCATCAACTAAATAACTGCCTGTCATCAGAAGACTGGCCAGCAGGTGATGAATATTTTTTGGCCACAGCATCTCACGAGGGTCGTCTGCCAAGGCAGCGAGAGGCGAGGAGCCACATCGGTGAAGGGAGAACCCACAATGATCAAGTCAGGGATCCTTGAAGTCTCAAAGCATCTACACAAGGACCCAAGACTCTGATACATCATACGTTCTGTATCAAGTGGGATGGAGCATGGGGAAATCCTTGACTCTTTACCGTCCACAGTCTGGCCCAACCCAACATTGCCACGGTGCTTTACGTGAATCCTCCGCTGCAGCCAGATGGTCCTCCTCTGTGTCCCCAGACAGGCCAAGACCGTGCCAGGTTCTGGGCCTTGATTTACCTTTGCCTAGAATACCGCTCCCTGTCATTCAAGGCCTAGCTCATGTCCCACCCCCCTCCATGAGGCCTTCCCTAACTGGCCTAGCCCTATGGTTGTCTCCCTTTTTCTTGTCTCCTATAACAGGGTCTATACCAAACAGTTTGGCCTCTGTACTGTTTCCTTCACGTCAAGTCCTTCCCTTGTTAACATAATAAAGATAGCTCAAATTTCAATAGCAATCAAGCAACAAGTATTTACTAAGCACCTGCTACGTACCAGGCACAACGCAAGGCACTGGGGAGACAGGTAGAGAGAAGGAAACAATCCTTACTCACAAGGAGTTTACATTCTAACGAAGGACATGACAAGCACGTATAAAAATATATATAGCACAAACAAATCCAAATGGGAACCAAGAAGTTAAATACAAAGTAGCTTGGAAGGGAGGCACTAGAAGAAGGGGATTGGGGAGGAGGGGAATCAGGAAAAGCTTCATGCAGAAGATGGTACCCCAGGGCAGCTGGGTGATGCAGTGGATAGAGCACCAGCTCTGGAATCAGGAGGACCTGAGTTCAAATCTAGCCTCAGACCAAACACTTGACACGGACTAGCTGTGTGACCCTGGGCAAGTCACTTAACCCCAATTGCCAAAAAAAAAAAGAAAGAAAGAAAGAAAGAAAAAGAAAAGAAAAGAAAAGAAAAAGAGGTAGTGATCCAGGTGAGACCTCTGAGATAAAAGCATTTCTGGGTAGCTTTTCCTGTGTGTCTCAGTTTCCCCCTTGGCTATGTGTTTCTGGAAAAGAATTGTAGCTGTGCTCCAAGCTGCCTGAGGTCTAGGGACACCGAAAATAGAAGAAGAATGTGGCCACTGGTGAGTCTATAGTATGTCACAATATCAAGTCCTTGATGAAACCTACTGAGCCTTTAGTACCTGGGTTAGAAGTTGAAGCAACCTGGCTGGCAGGTCTTGGGACATACTAATAGAAGTGAAAACCTTCATAGGAGTCCATAAGAAATTTGCTCTGGTGTCAGACCAGGAGTTTCAGCATCTCATGAAATGGGCATTGAAGGAATGTTTGGGGATGGTATGGCTTGGTCACCGTGATGCCAGCCATTTAGTTGGTTAGCAGGTACAACCTGGGTGGAGATCCAGCAAAGGAGACTGAGGAGTCAAGCAGGTAGAAGAACTGGGAGAGAGGAAGAAAGAGAGGAGGAGGAGGAAAAGGAGGAGGAGGAGGAAAAGGAGAAGGAAAAGAAGAAGAAGGAGTAGTAGTAGTAGTAGTAGTAGTAATCAAAAACCCAGAGGACAGAGTATCTAGAAGAGGGTGACCAACACTGTGGAAGGCTGAAGAGGGGCCAAGAATGAGGATTGAGAAATAGTTGGTAACTTTGGAGAGGGCAGCTTTGGTTGGATCATGAGCCTGGAAGTCAGACTGCAAAGAGTTAAGTGAGTGAACTAACTCTACTTCTTGGCAACTTCTGTTGGTACTTGTTCTGCCTTCTAGGACCCCACGGAACAAATCTAACCCTTCTCTCACACCACAGCCCTTCAGATCTCTTGGTGTTTTGAGTAAAGAAACAAAAAACTAAAAATAAAACCCACAATCTCTCACTCTGCCCATGCCCCCACATCTACTTCTTCTTAGCAGAAGTTATTAGCCACAGAAGAGACCCAGAGCAGCAAAGTCCTGCTCTCCTCAGTGACTTTCTGAACTAATCTGTCTCTTCCATATAACTCTTCACTTATGTCAAACGAGAGTACTCTACACTCTCTAAGGATGAGGACAACCACTCCCTATCTGCATGGAGTAGCAAACCTTTTTTTTTTTCCTGAACAGAATAAATACTCATCAGCGTCTTAAAGCATCTCATCACTGTTCTTGGCAGGGACAGAATTGGAATTCAACAAATTTTTTAACACAGAAATTAGCATCAATTTAGAGAAAAAGGAAAATAGAATTTTAAAAATATGATAAAACATACAGGATCAAAAATCAAAAAATCCAGAACCAACTTACTTTTACATATGTGGATTTTAGACACCTGTTAGATTTTATTCCAATTTCTGAATCTGATAATTATAAAAATCCATTTGTGTTTCAGGAAAACACATTTAGTCTTAACATGGCCTTAACTCAACTGGACTACTCCTGAGTCCCCTGATTCACCATGTTCTCACCTGCTCCATGCTTCTGCCCGCCTTGCTTCCTATGATTCGATTGCTCTCCCCTAACTCTTCCCTTTACCCTTTAAAGCCCAATTCAAATGCTAGGAGGCCTTCCCTAACTACACCATCCCCTCCTCCAAAGACCATAACAACCTCAGGCTTTGGATTCCACAGGCCAACTTTGTTTAGCAATTCTCTAATGCACTTATCATGTAATATGATATATTATCTGTGTCGGAATCGTAATTAGTTCAGGTGCTACTTCCTAAAGGAAGACTTTCCTGAACCCCCAGCTATTAGCATTTCTCTCTTGAAATTACTTTGTGCATATTTTGTCTTGACTTATCTGTGTGTATGCCATATCTCCATAGTAGAATGGAAGTTTCTTGAAGGCAGGGTGTCCTTACATCACCCCCAGTGCCTAGTATATTGTAGACACGTAGTAGCTCTTTGTTGAATTGAATTATCCCTGTGTGAGTTTCATCAGGGCAGGGACAGTCTATTACCCAAGTTTTGTGTTGTCTCCAGCACTGAGCACCTTGTAGGGTCTTAGTTAATGTTTGCTGTATGGCACTGATTTGAACTGGGCATGGGAGCGAGGTTCTCATACTGTCTCAGTCCCCTTGCCCTCATGGTGCAGCTAAGCCACCAGGGCTCTCTGTGTTTGGCAGGGCAGGCTTGACTAAGAGTCTGAGAAGTCTGTCATAACCTTACTCCAAAGCCTTTACCAGCTCCTTGCATGGGATCACAAGATACAGAACTGGAAGGGACCTAAGCCAGCTCTT